CAGCACGGCAGCAGCACCCGCAAAACCAAAACGCCGATCCACAGCCACACCATTGAGAAGTTAAAACACTATAGCCTGCAGCTATCTGGGGGACTAAATATCAACATGTTGAAGCACCAACATCTTCACTGGGTGCAAAGCAGGATATATAGCGTTCTTCAGAAAGAGCTTCGGCAGTTGAGAAAATCCAAAAGTTGCGCCATCTGAGCGACACAGCCTAGCTGCCTGGCAGGCTGGTAGCAGCTTACTGTCAATTAGACAGGCGTGTCGGTGAGGCCCTGGCTGGGGATGGGCAAACTGTATGTAATTTACATAGAGGACTCACAACGCGATGATGTGGTTCACCTCGTGGGGCTGCGAAGGAGATCAAGTTGCGACTCATTCTAAACAGCATTGAGCCCTTTGACTCTGAAGGGACACCTGCGTTCACCAGGGGTGCTGGCGACACCTGCAGTGCTTTGATCATTTGGTCTAGATTCTGTCTCCCGCTAAAGGTGTGCAGGCTGGTGAAGCAGTGGGCGAAGTCAGAAGAGCTTGTAAGACGGTAGCCCCAGATCATCAAAGGCGAAACATGTTGACCTTGTGCGCCATGTTCCGTCATTTGGCAATGCCAGCTTCTATTTGACCATCAGAGGGCATTTTTGATGCACATATTGTGTCCTCATTGTACTCAGGCATCAGTGACGGCCACTTGACCTCGTATGTCTAATCCTTGGATGCAAGGGCACTGGAAGCATGATTTGTCCTAGAGTCCTAGAGCATGGGGTGCAGGCATCCATACTAAAGTCGACCTGTGAGGCTTACACCTTGCTGACCTTGTACTTTTTGATGAAATCATCGCCTCCATTACTGCCAAACCTGCAGGACTCCTTGTGTTTGACAGTTTTGGACTGCGCATTGCCAATTGTTGTTCTTCGTCCACCAAAGTTGAGCGAACAGAACTGATTTGCCAAAGCGGAACAACAGCAACAACAATGATAATGAACAGCCCAACACCAACCCAAGAAAGAAAAAGGGGCAAGATCATTCCAAGCAGGTGTCTTTACGCTCGATAGAGGGCTGTTCTCTGCCGTCCTCTTGGATCATACGATACCAGACCTGGCATTTCTTTTTAAGAGAAATATAAAGATTGATTTTGAGACCCACCAATTGTGTGAGCTGTTCCCTTGCCACTTCAACTCCCTTTGGCTTGGCATGGCTTTGGCAGAAGGCTTTAAGCAAGATTGTTCGTCATGCTGCTGTCTTACTGTGATTGAAGTCGTTAACAAGGAAATGGTGCCAAAAGCTGTGTTATTGGAACACAGTGCCAAAAGCTGCGTGCCCGAAGCGGCCGAAGCGGACGCCCCCCGACCACTTGTTGGCCATGCTTCAAGCAGGACTTGTGGGATGCACCTTGCAAAGCCTCGTTGCAACACCCAAGTCCTAAGTCAACAACTTCTGACAAAGCCTCCATCGTGATCTTGAGAGGCTGAAGAGCCTGAGGAGCTTTGAAAGTATGTCAGGTGCACAAACAGCTGGCAGTACAACGTGTTTCAGCCAAATTATTGCCCGGTGTATTTGACAGTCCTTTGTCACCTTTTGGTCCAGTAGCCAGCAGCATGGTTGCCTTCCGGCACGGACTTCAAGAAGTCCTTCCATTTGCATTGCCCGCTAATGGAAATTGCACTAAAACGTGGACGATTCCACCTGCTTTCTCCGCTGGAGGGAACTACGAACAATCCTCAGACAAATTGAATTAGCCCTCGAAAACAAGAACATCTCAAACCATACCCTCGCCGCCTATGTTACCTGTGTGGTCCCAGGGCTGTGCTATGTCAGTTTTGGCTCAGTTGGACATCACGAAAGTGTGGAACCAAACCAGGAGCTCCTAGTAGCGTCCTTGCTCCTAGTAGCGATGCCAGGAGCCCCGGGTAGCTTCTTGTTCCTAGCAGTAAGGCCAGGAGCCCCTAGTAGCTTCTTGTTCGTACTGAAAGAATCTGAAGGGCACCCTGGGGGGGGTTTACGCACAGGACGTACTGCAAGCATTTTAAAACTTACCTCAGTGGCCACAGCCAAACCGCAAAAGTAATTGGAAAATATTGAAATTTGCTTGCAGCGAAGAGCCACTGATCAGTAAGACACCAATAATTATATAGTAGATTAACACATTGCTTCCTCTGGATACAATTGATGTCTTAAATTTATTGTGTAATATGAGTGACTGCACCATGCTCAAGTAGTAGACTCCCACGGCTTCCAAATATCACTTGATATCACTTGTCTGAAGATGCAGGCAGGAGTACTCTCCCATTGTCAAACTTTCAAGTATTCCGTGCGATTCCGTGAGGGCAGAGAAACGACCTACAGCCTACACAGCGTTAATGTTGTTTCAGATGGATCTTGACATACTTGAGCTGGAGAAAGGATCTGGCATTTGGCTCCGGCCACGACTCTGTGGCGGTGGTGGTCAGAAAGCTTAGCCTTGAATATGCTCTTGCTTGGCATGCCAGATTGGACAAACTATATTTGACAGGGAACGTCATAATTCTATTCGGTTCTCTTTGGTATTGATCAAGTTTGTTGTAATGTAAGCGTTTGGCGGAGGTCACAGGTGAAAGCTTGTTTGATCCTCCAAGGACAGAAAGTGGGGTCAAAAGATGACCTGGGAATGCAAGTTTTGGGAGGACGTAGAGTTGCTACCAAAGCACCTCGACCTGCTTATAGAATGGGCTAACGCCTGGGTGCTGCCGTCCGATCCCTATTTGTTAGGCTATAGGCTATAGGCTATAGCTTGTTGAATGATTGTTTAGCAGTCAGCAGCAGCCAGATCCATACACCAAAGAGGAGGACGCTACTAGGGGCTCCTGGCCTTACTACTAGGAACAAGAACGCTACTAGGAGCAAAGGGCATCGCTACTAGGAGCAAGGACGCCACCAACGGGGTGATGTCACCATGCTCACGACATCTCCCCATCCCTTGTGGTCGCCGAGAAGTGCTTCGAGCTAAAACATCGGCGTTGCCGCTGCCGACGTTTTGTTTAGAGCAGCTTGGACAGTGGACATATGTGATTGGATCTAAAACTTAGTTTCTTTAAATCTAAAACTACTTAGGCTTAGGTGAAACTGGGGTGACGCTGATAAAATTCCAGGTTTTTGACAAGGTTTTTAGTCTTGCAAGTGTTCTGCGCGCACAACAGTGGCCGGGAAGGGTGCCAGACGGCAGTCTCGAAACCGACTTAAAGACATGTGGCAGCCGCTCATGCAAAGGTCTCAGAAGGTGGCTTCACCATACTGTTCTGCGAGCAAAGGGTGCCGGACAGCAGGTGGATGGGCAAGGATGAGGGTTCCACCGTTCCACCCTGCGGTGTCCCGGGCGCTGCCGGCTTAAGCTGGACTGAGCCAGGGTCGGCGGATTTCAACTTACTTCTGATGAATACTTAATTAAGAGAACTTGCCAGAGCCTGTCAAGTGCCGGAATATGCAGGGATATGAAGGGAATGTGTCGGGATCACGGCTAGACGTTAGAAGTATCTCACAAAAGGATAGTTGCAGTTCTATTAGGTTGGAGGCCATCGCTAGTAGGTTAGAGGCCAACTATGCTAGTACCCTTCAGCTGTATAGTCTCATGCATTAGCATCATCAGTGATTTCAATGTGCGACCTTTGTATCCTGATGTTATCTCAGAATCTCAGAGGTGTTCGCTTTGCTTTTGTCCGTTGAGATCCCATACATTCCACATGACAGTGCAGAGAAAGCAACACATACATGGATAGTTGTGAAGTGGCATCGAGCAGATACTCAGGTCACTGAACGTGGACAGCAGTGAGAAGCTCCTGTCTCTTTGCATGATTTGCATGAACTGTAGGCCAATATCCACAATATTGGAAACATATCGAGTTTGACAGGACATTCATACAGAATATATATTCACAGCTTGCGTCTTTTGATTTAATGAAGTTCCCAGATGCCCCATTGCCCTCGTAGCCTTCTTCAGTTCAATGCAGGACCACCCCTGGGTCCACCTCGCTTGGATCTCTAGCCATTTTCTGCGAACGTTCTTGGAGGAACGCCGCTTGAAGGAATTGTCTGAGAGGCTCACTAACGAGGTGGCCATTCTGCAAGCTGAGATTCACAGGACATCAAGAATTTTGTCTGGATACTCAGAACTGGCAGACCGGTGTGAGACTTCCCAAGGGACTCGGCTTCAAGGGAACTTGGTCTTTTTGGTGGTCGTAGTGGTCCTTGGCTTGTTACTGGTGGGTTCGTGGATCAGATCCTCTCGCCCGACTCCCACAGAGGTTCTGGCAGTAAGAGACACGGGAGGTTCAAGTGACTCAGACGAGCCGCTGCCAGCGCCCAAGCCTGTTGGCCCCCTCCGGCCTTCGCAGCTGGGTGGCAAAGGAAAAAAGGGCTTAACTTAGCCCGGCATGGCAGACGACATGACCTTAGATGTGTCAGAGCCCCAGGTCTTGGCGTACTATGGGGCTGATCCCCACGTCAGGTGGCATCACCGCCTCCTTCTCGCGCGGGTCAGTCCCGGCAGATGGGTAGCTAGTTCACCGGATTTTGACTTGGAAATTTTGGACCTTAATACTCAAAGACATCGGATTCTTTCTAGGCGTTCTCCTCTCCCTCAAGATGTCATCAATGACGTATACATCTTTGACCCCATCAGCAAGCGAGACTTGGAGAAACTGAAGCGTGAGGCCAAGACAATGGCCCTTGTTTTGGGTGACGGTGAGGTTACAGGAGAGGAAGAAAGAGCCTGGATTTTTTCAGATCCGTCTTCTGAGCACTTGGGAAAGTTGGTGGGTCATGACAAGCTCCAATCTGCGGTGACCTTAGGAGATAGAGGTTTGATAGAGCATGAGGGAAAGATTGAAGGCATCTCTGAAGTGAGTGTGGCCGAAGTTGGGAGCATCGTTGAGCAGATCAAAGGCACACAAGGAGACTTAAGAGTTCTGGGCCTCCATGTGGGCGCAGACAAAAAGAGACTGCTCCTCTTCAAGGACGCCTTCCCTCTTTTCAAGGAATCCACTTTCAGCGATTGGGTTTTTACCGGCCCAAGAGCTGTGAAGGAATTCCTGGGCTCCATCTACGAAAGCGGCACAGATCTGGGAGGTTACCACCTCCAGTGGGTGAAGAACAGCAATGTCAACCCGCACTCCTCCGTATGCCACGAGCGCCGAAACCTCATGGAGAGCCTCCGCCTTGCGGTGACCCGCGACCAGTTGGATGTTACGTGTCTGATGTCCATGGAGCTTTTGGTTCGCCGAGTTATCTTGTTGGAAGTGGCAGTTAGTCGCAACGCCAACAGTCCAGATTTCAGCGGCCTGGAGGTGCTCATGGAAAACCCGCTCTCAGAAGGGGGCGCTGCAGTCACCAGACAGCTGGACGAGTGGGTGACATCCAGGCTCAAGGAGCAAGCCAAGATAGCGAAGAACGCCAGACTTTTTCGCGAGGAAGCATCTATGCGGGCCAGAGCCGGCCGTGGTGCAGGAGGAGATGAGCCAGAACCATCGTGGAGGAAGAGGAACAAACCAAAGGCCAAGGCCAAGGGCAGCGCTGGTGCCAGCAACACCGGCGCTGGCGACAATTAGAACACAGTTTTTTGGCTTGGGCATTCCGCTCGATGCTCAGGCTTGATCAGCAGAGCGAACACCCCTGGGCACAGTACAGAGCTCATGGGGACCCATTTCCCCTCAACGCGCTGTGGCTTGAAACTGTAGCGCAAGAGGCAGAGATATGTTTTCCACAACGAGGACGATGGACAGCTGACGCGCTGAACAGCCTCGCTATGCATGGAGCGAATTCACAATTTCTTCAACCAAAGCTGCAAGGCATGAAGCCGAATCTCCCACAGCAGTTGGTGGCCGACCGTGTGGTAGAAGCCTTTCGCGAGGCTGGGCCACCTCCTGATGACTTGAACGGGCCGCAGGCCTTGGAAGAGATCTGCTCATGCAAAGACCTCTACATGGAGGAGCCCAGCAACCTTGCCCCTTACGACTACTCCAAAATCAAAGTCCTTCACTCGGATTTGAAGCCGCGTGATCTCAGCACCATGGTCCCTCGCTTTGTCAAGGGCATCCTGGACCGGTATGACACAATGATAGAGCGCAGTGCTTCAGAGATCAGCGCCATGGGAGAGTGTCCTTACAAACCATACTGGGATCCAGCTCTGAGGCAGTCCACAAAGGAAGTTCACCGTTTGATGGTTGGTTTGGCCCAGAAGGGACTGGTGTCTTTCCACACAGGAATCAAAGAACGCATCGGTGTGTTCACTGTTCGCAAAAAGACCCCCCGCTGGAACAGACTGATCATAGATGCTAGAAGGGTGAATTGGTCTCACCGGCCTCCTCCAACAACCAGACTGGGGACGCCCCGCAGTTTGATAGACGTTCAGATGAGCCGATCGGACCATGCGGCACCCCTGGCATATGGGCTAGAGGCAGACGTTGCCGACTGCTTCTACAACTACGTGAATCCTAAGTTGGCTTCATGGTTTGGTGTTGATACACCCCTTCGCTGTTCACAATGGGTCAAGCTAGGGTGGACTCGCGCCCCTATTTTCTCAGATGCCACACAAAGCTATTTCCTTCCCAACGATGACACGGTCTTGTACCCCGTTTTTCAAGGCTTGTGTATGGGCTGGGCGTGGGCTTTGTTCTTCGCAAATGAAGCTGTTGCTTTTGCTGTGGCTGGCAGGATAGAAAGACCCCTGTCAGAAGTTCGGGACAGGCTCCCACCACCAACTTTTGGTGAAACAGCCATCACAGGCGTCTACGTGGACAACATTTCCATCATAGGGCCCACAAAGCAAAGTGTGCTCAATGCCAAACAAAAGATCATGGAACGATTCAGTCAAGATGGAATTCCTTTGACTTGGTCAGCAGAGCAGCCCTCCGAAGTTTTGGAGACTATTGGGGTAGTTTTTGACTTCAAAGCTGGTGTTGCTCGAAACAAGCCACGTCGAATTTGGAGAGTTTTTCTAGCTGGAAAAGAGCTTCTCCGGCGCCGAAGAGTGTCCCTGAAAGTTCTTGAAGCTTGGGTCGGGCATGTCACATCTTTATTCATGCTCCATCCTGCACTCCTTTCCTGCTTTCACCACATTTACCGTTTTCTGCAAAACCACCGGGCCGGAAGAGCAGAAATCTGGAAGGAGGTGCGCGAGGAAATCAAACTTTCCTTGGGCGTCCTTTGGCTGAGCCGGTGCAACCTAGAGTTCGTTCCAGTTAGGCAAGTGGACGCAGGAGACTCCAGTGGCAAGGCCTACGCCTTAATGACCACCTGGGCAACATTCCGTGAAATCGCTGAAAGTTGTCGCTGGCGAGAGTCCTGGCGATTTCGGCCACTACCCCAACAAGTGCTCGATGCAGTTAAGGTCGGAGACAGGCCTGAACTGGAGCGTGTCTTGGAAGATTTGCAAACCATCTCCACGGGGCCCATTTTGGAGCAGGAACTCAAACCTACTTCAAGCTTCGGAGCAGGACTCTCCACACAGTATGCTTCTTGGCTGATAGAGGCACGGTCTCCAAGTAGCTGGCTTCGGACAAGCGCTGTTGCCAGTCAACTCAAAGCAAGACCAAGCAAAAGAACCATGGTTGAGGTCCCGGCACTAGTTCAACCCCTGGCAGAGGACCTCTGTCAGCAAGCTAGATATTCACTCCTGTGGAGGAAGAGGTGGAGATTCGGGGGATCTAGCATGCACATCAATGTTAAGGAGGCAAAAGTTGCGCTTTCCAGCCTCAAACGCACATGTCGAGTGGCAGGGCTGCATGGTAAAACAAAGCTCACCTTGACGGACAACCTTTCTGCTCTTTGTGCTTTTGAAAGAGGGCGTGCTTCAAGCTATAAGCTCAATCAGGTGTGCCGCTCAGCCGCTGCCTATTCCACAGCATGTGGAGTGCGTTGGAGGCTTCGGCACATTGAGACATTGCGGAATCCGGCCGACCACGACAGCCGGTTCACTGAAGAACAGAAAACACCCAAATGTGCGCCATGCCTGAGACCGCCCAAGAGACCTCCAGAATACAGGGATTGTAGTGGAACTGGGGCGCCTTCCGCCTTGCCGAGCAGCTCATCGTCAGCGCGGGCCTCTGGCACTGCGATTTGCGGTCGGGTGGATTGCGCCACAGAACCATTGCAGCCAGAGACTGGCGGACCTCAGAGGCGAGGGCGTCGTAATCGGACTGGGGTGCCCACCACCTTGCCGACCTCGTCGAGCTCAGCGCAGACCTTCGGTACTGCGAAACACGGTCGGGTGGGGTGCACCCCGGCACCATTACGGGGCCTTACAGGCGCAGACACACCCAAGTACAATGTGCCAGTACCAAAAACAGGAGGATCGTCCACCTTGACATCTGCAAGGGAGGCTAGGCAGTTGAGGCCGGGCAAGAACCCTTACATTCCCCTGATGTCTGGTGGAGGTTTCCTAGAGATCTTCTCGGGTCGTGGTAACCTCACGGCCGCCATCAGAGCCAATGGAGGAGCCACCTATGAGCCCATAGAAGCCAAAGCTGGACCACAGTTTGACATGAGAAGAAGATCAACGCAGAGGACAGTCTTAGCCTGGGTCAGAGCGAGCCGATTCAGCCATGTTCACTTGGGCATGCCTTGCACGGTGTTTTCTCGAGCACGGCGAGGTGTTCAACGCCATGACCGTGCCCTTGAAAAAGAACGGGTCGGACTGGAACTGGCTCTTTTTTGTGCAGAAGTTATTCACACCTGCATGAGATACAACATAAGCTGGTCCTTGGAAAACCCAAAATATAGCAGGCTCTTTGAGGTTCCCTTTTTGACGGAAGTGTTGTCTCATCCTCATGTCCTTCGGGTTGACTTTGATCTGTGTATGTACGGGGTGGCCTTCAAGAGGTCCACGACCATTTTCACCAACAATCACAGCCTATCTGATATAGGGCGACAATGTCGACACCGGAAGCACGAAGAGGTTTTGAGGGGCTCCGCCGTCGGCCTTGTGAAGGGAAAGAAACTGCCCATTCCAAAGACACAGAGGGCAGGCGAATACCCAATGGAGCTTGTCAAAGTTTGGGCCCAAGCGCTTAGCACCACAGTCGGAAGGTGGAGCCCAGCGCATCCCATTTTGGATGCTCAATGGAAATCTGAACTGGAACTGTGCCTCAACCGGCACAACCGCTTGGGCGAACCGGCACAAGCTTCTGACCAATGGGATTTTCACCGATTCAGACTTAGCAAGCAGGCCCAGCAAGCGCACCGCTTCATCATCTATGGTCAGCACACCTCCAGAGAAGCGCAGGAAAACGAAGCGAAGCTGCGCAAAATCCTCCAACCAGCAGCCAGGTCCATCAGCGGCCTTGTTGCGACAAAGGCTACCTAGGCACAGACAGCTTCGGGCCCTCAGAGTCAAAGACCCCACTTTCTTGAAGTACAACTCAGCAGTTGCAGAATTTGAACGATACTGCCGAGCCAGACGGCTCACCCTGAGTAGTGCTGCCAAGACGGACAGACACCTAGCTGAGTACTTTGCAGATCTTTTTGAGGATGGAGAGCCATACAACACAGCCTCATACACATTGTTTGGCTTCATTCTTTTGAGAACTGACGAAAACGTGCCTGAACGGCTTCTCTTCCCACAAGCAAGAGGAGCTTTGAAAGGTTGGACAGCAAGGTGTCCCCCGGGCTCCAGGACGGGGGCAGATCCACTCCTTTGGTATCTTATGGCAGATACCATAGCTGATGAATGTGTGGAGGGTGCTGCCGCCCTACTGCTGCAGCTAGACACCTACGCACGGCCTTCAGAAGTGGTTCAGTTGACTCGTAGGGACATCATCAAACCCACAACGAAACACTGCAAGTATTGGGGAGTGATTTTTGGGAATTCGGAGATAGATGCGTTCACCAAGACGGGCACTCAGGACGACACTGTTTTGTTGGATTCGCATGACCGTGAGTTCGCTCAAACGGTCCTTGCCTGGTTGATCCGCTCACGTCCCTCACCGGATGATGAGTTGTTTCCTGATTTGGACCTCTCCTCCTACGAAGCGTTGTTTCGAAACGCGCGCCAGAAGCTGCATCTCCAACAGTTTGGATTGACCCCACATGCTGTCCAGCATTCCGGACCTTCTGCTGACTTCCTGAGCCGCAGCCGTTCGGCCGCTGAGATCCAGAGCAGAGGCCGTTGGAAGACGGCAAAGTCAATCCAACGTTATCAAAAACCGGGACAAATGCTAGCCAAGATGAATAGGATACCTGAGCATATTTGGCCAGAAGCCAGGCTTGCTTTGCCTCGAGTTTTGAAGAAATTAAAGATTCATTTTTTGGGGCGATAAAATCGTCCAGAACATTTACATGGGCAGTGGCAGGCATCTCTTTGCTTTAAAATCTCCTTGACATCCTTTCAGCATGCTTCAATCCTTGAGCTGACATCCAACGTGCCAGCTTGAACCGATTTCTGTGGCCATAAAACCGGCCTTCTTGCTTGAACCGATTTCTGTGGCCATAAAACCGGCCTTCTTTGGAACTTGCTGAGAGCCACAAAGCACCTGCAGCAAAAGGTGGGCATGCACGGAGAGTGCTGAAGGAATGCAATATATATATCATTTATATATACACATATATATATATATATCTTATTGTTGACAGAATGCAGAGATATGTTCCAAGTGCAGACAACGGCAATACCGGTAGGGTTTCTTGGTATGGCCGCTCCGTCATTTCTTGGACCACTGAGGAGGGGATTTTTTCGCTTCTACACGGAGGAATTCGATTGGTTCGCTACCAAGATGTAACCAGGCCTTGAACAGACAGGTGACAAGCTGGCAAGCTGCCATCCTGTGCACTTGCTGGGTTTCCTAAGGTAAAACAGAAACATGACGAGTTAAAGAACACAGCATGGTTTTGTGCTTGGTATACTCAGGAGCACTCATGCTGTTTGTGTGCGTTTGGTCGTGCACTGAATTATTTGGAGCTGAGAAAGCATCTAATGACTATATATATATAATATTAGATATATATATACATTGTGTATTCAAGTGCCTACTCAGGCGACTCCCAAACAAGACGTTTCAAAGTTTAATTTGGCAGCTCCGGCTACAAAGGAAGGGCCTGGTGCCAAGATGAATTAATAGACGTCCTTTGCAGCAATTGAAATTCTTTCTATACTATCTCCAAGCAAACACAGCTAAGCTGCTGTGGCTATACATTTGATTTCAATGGAACCAAGGTGGTTCATTGAAGTGAAGCTGCCTTGTTTCCACCCGGATCTCAAAGGTGGAAAGGAGTTATCAAGAGTATGGTGATGTCGATTGAAGCCGACCAGCGAGCTCAACCATGCAATGTTTCCTCCATCTCCCTTCTCCAAAGGACAAACAAAGTCCAATCAATGACAAACGCCTTGAAATGTCTCAAGTTATTTTAAGTTGAGGAGGATGCTTATTGTCTCGAACCCATCGTGTTTGCCAGGATCCTTTTGATCTTCGACACAATTTGGCTTCAAATTGCATAAAGGCATTTGTGTGATTTGTTTGGTCCACTGCTGCTTTTATTTGTTTTTTGGTTGTGCCCACTTCTTTTTGAATACCACAACTGGAAGCGATATACTCAGAACATCCTGTGATGTGACAACTGTGGAGCATTTGAATTATATAAATGAATAGCTCTTTTGGTTTCGCTTGATTCCTCAGGAGGGGCGGCAGCGGATTTTGGCACGCATGGCGGAAGCCCTCAGGCTTGGCATGTGAAATTGGTCACGGAAACTGCGACAACAACACCATACTATATACTGTATCATTGTTCGTGAATTGCACATTCAACAGGGATGTATGGCCCCGAGTTCAGTGGTTCAAGCTCAACATGTTCTCACCAAAGATGGCACGCAAAGTACTCTTCCGGTTCTGTGTTTGTGTTTGTGTAGCAGGACAACTCAAGCGGTTCTAAGTCTAAGTGTCGCGCAACTGTTTGGGCTAGCCGTGGCATCAAGATAGGTCCTCGAACAATTTGGTTGGACAATCTTTCATGATTGCTTGTGGTGACATGGCTGGATGATTTTGGATGTGAGAGAGTCGTTTTTTTTTTTTCTATTTTTTGCCAGGCTACTTGAAGAAGGTGGACTTCAAGCTTTTCATAGTCTGATGCTTTGGTAACATTCAAGCATGTGAAGAGTTCAGAGTTTGGAAGTTGGACATAAAGCTTGTCCCTGGTTTGCATCAAATACCGCCAGATCTTCGTGCTTCCTCAGACATTGTTTGAACACTGACCTCGCTCTTTTCCATTTTGTGTCCAGCTCTCGAGCATTTGCAGCAGCTGGACGCACTTAGCAGAATCAACAACAAATGATCACATATTTATATATATATAAGGTTCAACATCCCAGCCTGCCCAACCACAAGGAAAAAGAGGGAGCCAACAGCACACCTAGTGGGCAAAGTTGGCGAGGACGGCAGCAGTTAAGGGTGCACTATGTAGGTCCACGGATGTAGCGCTCGAGGATTTGTCGAAGACAACCATATCCATAGTCACCACAGTCTATCCTGCAAAGAAGGGACAGAAAGTGAAAGATAGAGAGGACAAATATGTCTTATGCGATATGAGATGTTTGTCTTGGACATGCTGCATCCATGTGCATCCTGCAGGAGTGCTTGTTGAGCTTGCCATAGTTTTCCTGTATTGTCTAGAGTCTATATACATCATAGCACATGATGTGCTTTCCTTGGACAAGGAGCTCCCAGCCAGAACCAACAATCGACAGCAAAAGCAGCAACTAAGCCCAACACCCTCGTATGTTTCAACTCTCCAGCTACTTGCCAATTCCTTCCAAAGCTCCAAACGAAGGTTACCGATCCAGCAAGAAATCCAAGTTCATGCTGAAGTGCCGCATCCACGTGGAGAAGGTGCAGACCAGGATTCATTGGATTCTTGCGCTACCTCAGGTCGTGCTGCCATTTGAGTATCTGATCTGACGAAGCCAGACTAAAGTTGACTTACAGGGTGGACATGGGATAGGACTCCTGTACCGATGCCCTTCACACAACCCACAAAACCTGCACTGCATAAGCACCAAGGGCTGACCCATTTTAGGCTATGTCCCTAGGGTAGACACTAGGTTTCGTCCCTCACTCTTCCGTCAGTTTTGTATGGTATGATGGCAAGGTCGCACTGACAGCAGGTCTCTGTCGAGGACTTCAAATCAACTATCACCACGTCAACAAATCTGAAGGATGCGTTCGACCTCCACTTTCCTTCATCGCCGCAACCTTACCTGGTAGCCAAAATACTTGGAGCCGTTTCTAACTAGCGACCACAGTTGATTGCTCAAACAATTCACAAGTAGACATGAGGATTCTTCCAGCCCTTATGAAATGGGCAAGATGATTCTGCGTCGCTTTGTTTGATACTGCTTCCGCTCAACGCTTTTCAGGGCTACCCGCAACAAGGAGGCCAGGGCTGCTTCCTGAAGTGCGAGATATCGCTTTGTGGACCTTAGCGGCTTCATTGCATGATGCACGCTCCAGTGGCACAGGTTGCAGATGCCTTCATCATTTTCAAGAGCAAAGAATCACAGAGACAGGTGTCAGCAGCTCAGCAAATCTGCTGAGCAACAACAAGATTTCTTGGAGAATCTGAAACCTTCAAGTTTGACCCACAACTAGGATTCAAGAATATCGCTTGATGCAACTTGCTTCTAGATCCAGCACTTCCTCACACGTCAACTATCGAGCCCCGCTCCCTAAGGCATGAGCTCAATGAGCGAATGATTGGTGAATGGCAACTGCGGCTCATGTGCGACACAAAGAATGGTGTGACAGTCAAAACACATCAAAGCTTATAGCCAATTGATGTGCGCATGATTGCTAATACGTGGATTCCTGTTCGTTTTCCAATCGTTGGTCACTAATTATAGTGATTACTAGTCTACTCAGAACAGGTCCGCGATAGATTCGTGCAAGCAAACATGCACAAAGAATAGTCGTCGCTGTTGGGGACACTCCGTGTCAGTTTGTGTTTCTTCCTCCTCATACTTTCGCGGACCTCTACCATTTTAAGGAGAGTAGAGTCACTTATTGAATGCAGAGGACAGAACTTGCTACAGAAGGGATGAACGGTCAGGCTGGAAAGCAACTTGAAGCATGTTTCAGCGCTGACTCCTCGCATGCATGACAGTTTTAGCCTTGCTTGCTTGCAGCTGTCGCTTCTATCCTCTTTACACCTCTTTACCTTCCCATGGGTTAAAGCATCAAAACCTCAAGACACTTGACTTGTTTGGCTTCTTTGAGCTTGCTGCTTTTGTGCTTTTCAGGCAGAACATCTTGACATCTCCCCTCAACTCCTCGAATTGCTCCGGAATCCGGAAAGAAGAATTCGAGGAATTCATTTCCCACTTGCCGTCCGCCTTCTGGACGAGGAGCCCCTAGTAGCTTCTTTGCTACTAGTAGTAAGGCCAGAAGCCCCTAGTAGCGTCCTTGCTCCTAGTAGTAAGGGCGGTCCTTGCCCATTTTCATTTTGCATTCTCCTCAAGGAGGAACACTGAAGAGGTCAATGATGGATCTTTTCAAGTTGCAGCGCCGGTTGGCCACCGGCCTGTACCCTCTTTTGCAAAATGCCTTCTTCGCAGACCTTGAGAAGTAGCATGTCTCGTTCACGCTATCTTGCAGGCAAATTGCTGAAAATACCTACAACTTGGGTGTTCCATGATGTTCCTTGAGTTCCTTGTCTCACCAGTCTTTCGGTGTAGCGCGTGTCCCTTTGCTCTCCAGCCCCCAACAAACCCTGACTAGCATCATCAAAGAGCTTCGATCCCTTTGCTGTTCCCACGTTTCTCCATGTTTGCTTAGGCCTTGCAGTACTTGGGCGTTGCAAGATGCTTTGGCGGCTGGAGAGTATCAGCATCTGGAGATCGGGCTGGGGCTTGGGCTTTGCAGCACCCATCATTGTATCCGGGCAAGATTTGAACATGAGCTTCTCCGTTTCAATGATACATACATACGTAATGCTTTGCTTGGCTATTGTAAACTAGCAGAGCTTGGAGGATTCTGACAGATTTCCTTGACAAAAGACTGAAAGAATCATCAAGATGGATTCTTCCGAGCTATTTGTCACTTTCTTTTCTCCTTGTTTGCTTTCTGTGCTCCTGGAGGAAGTCGCTCCCAAGATCTCTACAAAGCCTGAAAATGTGGCTGATCAGGTTCCATGCAGTGCATTAGCTTCGGTCACACTATCAAGCCAGCAGGGACAGAAACACACAGCAGAGCTACTGTGCCTTCGTGTGGCATTGCTGCGATTGCTTAATTTCCTGCAGCAGACACTTCCCTATTGCAGTTGAGGTGTTTCTAAATGTTTCTAAAGTATATAACTATAGATAAATAAGATTATATATATATATATGTATTTATATTAATATAACTATGTTTTGAGCTTAATCTATTTCTGTACTCAGAGGTTTTGTCGCAAAATTAAGTGCCATTGTGATGAGCTCTCTTTGTTGTTTTCCCCAGGTCCGGAATGGCTACAGGTCAGCCACCAGCATTGCTGAGGTTAAGCAGCACGGTGCTCAGTGTTGTTTGAAATCACAATGTTGCTGGGACCATTTACCTCAGAATGTCGAACGTCATGGATCTGATGAGCTGAGGCTGATCGAGCTTGCGGTGACCCCAGTGCAGTTGTTTTTGTAAGTGTGTAATTGCGTGCAGTTATAGACATGTAGGTACATGGATCTATAGGAGTACCTCAAGACATTGTTTGGGGGAGGGGGTGGTGCCATACATATACTATGTCTTGCCGGCTGCCGCCTGCATTCGGAGCGATTGCGACCTCAGCCATGAGTGTTTGGGTGATCTATCTCTGGTTCATGATAAGATCGGATAGTCTGGGATGCTGTCTTTGCTCCCGCTCGGCGTCGCACCAGGCCAGCCCATAGGAAATGCAGTCAATATAGTGTTTGGCTCCACCGACGTCACCGCAGCATTCAACCGAGACCCTCAGCCACGGCAGACACCTTCAACCGGTTTTCTAATAGCTTCTTGTTACTACTAGTAAGGCACTTGTTACTAGTAGCGATGCACTTGTTTCTAATGGCTTCTTGTTCCTACTAGTAAGGCACTTGTTACTAGTAGCGATGCACTTGTTTCTAATAGCTTCTTGTTACTACTAGTAAGGCACTTGTTACTAGTAGCGATGCACTTGTTTCTAATAGCTTCTTGATACTACTAGTAAGGCACTTGTTACTAGTAGCGATGCACTTGTTTCTATTAGCTTCTTGTTACTACTAGTAAGGCACTTGTTACTAGTAGCGATGCACTTGTTTCTAATAGCTTTTTGTTACTACTAGTAAGGCACTTGTTACTAGTAGCGATGCACTTGTTTTTAATAGCTTCTTGTTGCTACTAGTAAGGCACTTGTTACTAGTAGCGATGCACTTGTTTCTAATAGCTTCTTGTTTCTACTAGTAAGGCACTTGTTACTAGATGTTACTAGTAGCGATGCACTTGTTTCTATAGGTCGGAGGCCATCGCTTCTAGGTTCGAGGTCATCGCTTGTATAGACTGTAAGTGGTGGAAGTCGTGATGGCAAAGGATCCATCAACGAGTGGCAGGTGAGCAGACGATAGTTTCAGGTCGCAACCATAGCTGCCACAGCTGGGTATGAACCAGCATGTAAGAACAGCCCTTTGCTTTTTGTTATTTTTGCAAATTCTATTGCAGGATTGGCTGGGCGATTGCACAAGGTGTTGGCCCAACGAACTCTTACCTTTGGTAGTTTGACTCCTCCCTGTGCTTTGCTAATCGACAGGAACCATGTTGACTTTTCCTGGTTTGTTGCCGTAGCCAAGTCCGAAAGAGCTGACAGTTCCTCAATTTCCAATTGGTCTCTGAAATCACCTCTGAGCCTCTGAGCTGTTGCCACGCCATTAGCATCTCGACATATCTCGACCGATTGGCTGACCCGTTGCTATGACAATACTGGCGGTGGACGCCAGTTTTGCCGACAAAGTGTGGCGCTAGTGTCGGGAGTCGGTTGCCTGGTTTCACAACTTCATTTGTTGTAATCGAGCCAGCCCTCCTGTGGCCACGACGCTGTCAAGGTGACGCATTCAACTCTCTAATCCGTTGGAATCGCAGTGCACTTGAAATGTCGGCTTCAAGAGCTTTGCCCATACGTGAAGGTCGTGAGGCTGACAACAACCGCGTGTCAAAAGCTTGCGTTCCCCTCTTCTCAGGTTGCGCAATTGTATGTATTTGATGTGTAGACACTCCACTGCATACGCCCCAGTGACCACTGCCCTTTTGTTTTGAGTTTAGTGCATTTTAGTGCATTCATCTTCCCTGTGTTTAATTAATTCCAGAACGGATTTGGTCACGTTAGGTCAACTCATAGCTGTCACACCATGAGGCCCGAAGCAACGACTTGAAGTATGAGGAGCAATTGGGCCTCAAACGTTCGGGACCAAGCAAAGAAGAGCTTCCTCCAACCTAATGGCAATGGGCTACCCCCAAATAGCAATGGCCTCCAACCTATCAGTGATGGCTCCAACCTTGATTTACTCATGTGTGCAGGCAGCTTTTGTTGCCTTCCGACTTCCTTTCATTTGCACTTGGAAATCCTGAAATTTTGCGCTGCCCGGCCGGCTGATTTGCATCAATGAGGCACATCCATTGTAACTTGTGTACAACTTGATGAAATTGTGACCGTGACATGGACACATGATTTGGGTACGCGTGGAACTTTGGCTGCCAAAAGGTGACCCCAGCAGCTCGTGTTATCAATTGTTATCTGCCACTGAGGATGTTGTCATTTTTTATCGAACATAGGCTGGTTGATGTGCCACGACACCAAGCCTTAGCGCCCTTAGCGTGCTTTAAAGCGAAAGCACAGTGGAAGATATTGGCCCTCTTCCAACTCTTGAACATGCAAAGCACAATGTTCATATCAATATCAGCGGGGCGTCGACATTTAAATTTGATCCCATCATGATTCACATTACCTTCGTTTGGTGCAAGTGTAGCTGGCCGAAGAAAGCATTTGTGTTCGTTTGTTTTGTATAATTTGAACCTCCCGACAGTGCATGTGTTTAGCCTAGCTCTTGCTGACGATCTTGCTTGTGTGGTTCAATACAGCAGTGTCATCACTTACGTTGCATCAGATGCAGAAACTGAAAGCATGAAAACAAATATTGTGCCTAACTGTGCCTGTCTAGCTGCATAGCTAAAACACAGATATGATATAGACAACATTGCTTTACGTCGATTGAACGCCACCTTACAGCTTGCGGTCACTGACCGCAGAAAGATTGAAAGTCAAAAGATCACCACCTTCCCATCAAGACAAACTAAAGCTTTGAACAAATTTGCAACCACTTTATAAACCGCATCCTCAGAAATATTGGTGTTTCTTCTAACACGTGTTCTGACATGATTTCTGAATATTTCTGACATTTGTGTTGACATATCCTCTCACAATTCTGCTGACATTTCGGCTCTCGTTGTTTGAAACGCTCAGGACAACAACAATGAAACAAAGGAAACACAAAGAAACACAGACTTGAGTGTCTAAGTTGAAGGGTGGAAAAAAAAGACACAAAACAGAACGCACCTTCAAACAAGCATATATATATAATACACACGAAATATGATGATACATGTCTATATCATAGTGGTTCTACAAATATGAACAGATTGGCTCCAGCGAAGCGGTTGTTCAGCTTGCCTGAGGCTTAAAGCAGTTGGAGTCCAGTGGGCAGGTGGAGCTTTGAGGGGAGGGCCACTGGAAATAGGGCGGAGTCATGAAGTAAATCTCCGAGATTAAGGCGACTCTCCTTACTTTGTTATTGTGTTTCCTTTTTTCTGTTTTCTTTAGACATTTCTATATTTCTCTTGTTTGGTTTGTGCCGTTTTCGTTGAGCGGCATTTGGTCCGTGAAGACTGAGCAGTAAGTACCGTCCATCATCCTGGGCGTGGGCTGTGCAGCCTGGTATTGGCAACATTATAGTCTTAGTCGCGTAAGTGAGCAGCACTGTAAAACACCATGTGAGCATGTATTATAACACTGTATAGGATCATATGATTGTATATGTACGCCCCGTAGGGGGGAACAACCCACACAGATTTATTACCCGCTATATTTTAGTTTGCTCACTGATCTTGTCTTGAAAGGAATTCCTGTCAGTTTCCTCTTGACTTCGAAGACAGGCGCCTAGCTCTGCCCTAGCGACACCTGCAAAGCCCACGAGCTTGAACCCTAGGGACAATGAGGATTGGGACCGCTCTGAGCATCTTTGAGCAGACCTCTTTTGTTCTCAACATGAGAGCCATTTTAGCATATTTATATATGATATAATCACTGGTTCGAAAGTGATTTGTTTTATTTTGGGTAAGATTTGCAACACGCTACAAACATAGGGTATGGTCAAGAGCACATTCTCTTTGGCTTCAGCACTATCCCAAGTTTGACCTGGCATCCGAAAGAGCAAATTATACTCAGGCTAAGGCTAAGGGGGAGTTTGTACTTGAAGTTTTGCCAACACACATATATATACATATATGTTTGCAAAGTATTGTCCTGGAGACATGCTTCTTCAGTGACATCATGTACTGTAACGATGTGCTCATTGTTCTCTTCTGCTTCAGTCTTCAGTTCTTGATTTGTCCATTGAGCAGACTTTCCGCAGAAGATATCCAGTAACTTTGTAAAGCCAGTTCATGTCAGTAACGTTGGTGTTGGAGACTTGAAAGAGTGAACTGTCGAACCTGCAACTGTAACTAGTATCGTTCCTGCAACTGCTGCACACTTCCATTGCTTTGAGAGCTTGCAAGGTGAAGATGAGGCTGAGTCCCGGGCAGCTTACCAGTGAGGCCACCTGTGTGTTGCGTCAGCATTAGCGGCGCCCTAGCGCTCGGAGAGTCACTGTTGGTTTTGTGACAAGGCTTCTGTCACTAGTCATCTCTTCAGTTGTTTGATCTTCAGAGCTTTTCGCGGCCACAAACAAATGGAAGTATGACAGTATGATTTCCTGAGCTGGTGTCTCTCAGGTAGCCAGGTACGTCTCACAACTTGTACATAGCCTTCTTGAGTATGCTAATGAGTGCTTCGTTCGTCACCAGATGTAGCATTTGGCGGCAGGTTTGCAAGAAAACGACTGACGGCCTACACTTCAATTATTGAGAATGTGTGGGAACTGGCAGAGTTTCAAACTTGTGATACTTGTTTCAGTTCATATCAAATCCCAAGTAGTGCAAGAGTTATGAGATGCAAGCAAGAAGGTACTCGGATTGCAGAGTAGAACACTCGTATCTAATCTATGCGCAACAATTTTTCTTTTCATCTGACTGTCATTGCATGGATCGGTGCAGTTCCGTCTATTTACACTGTGTGCATATTTATCAAATTTGTGAAGGGTGCTGCAAGGGTGCCACTTCTTCCTCCTCGTAGTCCTCCAGCTCGTCCTGACTGCCGGCACCAACGGGGCCAGACGTCACAGCGAGTGCTAGCTGCATCTGGGCACACACGGACCCGAAAACGATATGGGGCTCTAGCTCAGTCTGTGCACACACTAGCCCGAGCGCATGTCTGAATGCGCGACATGTCAAAAACTATGTCAAATCAGTGGATTCGAACATTATAGGATAGGTCCTGTTGTCAGAATATATTATATGCCAGACAAAATGTAAAGGGATGAGAAAGCAAGAAAAAATGTCAGATAGAATGCCAGAATGTCAGGACATTATGTCACGACCAAGGATCACTCAAAGATATCTCAGGGCAGATTTAAGGACGTGTTGGATCCTGTGTCAGCACAAATGTCAGAACACATGTCAGAGCGCATGCCAGAAGACATGTCAGAACACATGTCAGAACAATTAAATTGTGATCGGCAAATGTGTTTCTTGTATGTGGACCTACGCTACGTAATATTATCAAAAGCAATGTCCCTGGCCGTCCAAATATAGAAACATGATGGTTTCAAGGCTTAGGCCTTGCTCAACACAGGAAATTATACGAAGCCAGTATTTCATTTGTCAATTATCCAGAAACTAAATAGCAAGTAGCGATAACCAAGTGCCGGTGGCGTAAACCAATGATGGGCTGCATTTGGTTGTCTGGGGATGTTGGCAGGGAGCCGTGGATGGACAAACAGCTGTTGTTACTCCACCCTGCCGGGTGCTGTTTGGAGCCACCCCAAAATCCGGATAGACGGCAATACTGGTAACATTGGTGGTTGTTTCCTGGCGCAGATTAGGTTGGCACATGGCCGAAAGTTTCAAATTTCATCTCAGTGAACAGGCGTTGGTGAGCGCACATGTGTGCAACGAAGGGTTCCCGACGTCGACCGTACGGATTCAACGCTTTAAACCTTAAAGACATTGAAAGACTGTTCATTCAACAGTTTGTCGGCCAAGGCCATGGGGGGAAGCCCAAGAAGTCCGTAAGTATGGCGGTTCCGTCACATCCGGCCAGAAGACCACTAAACAATCCCAGTAGAAACACCAAACCCAGGTTCAGGTTCAGAAGAATAACAAAAGGAGAACAAACTTGCTGAAGCGGGAACAATTCTGACTGGGTTGAACCCAGATGCCCTTCCTCAGTAAAAGAGAAGCCCAAACCAATGACTCAAAACATGCAGTCGCTCTCAGGCAACCCATCCCTTACAAGAAAGCAACCGGCAAAACAGGAACCCTTTAAGAAGTTGTTCAACGGCTGAGAACAAAGATCGGGTGGGAGCTGTCAGACTTGTAGATAGCTTGATCCTCAAAATTCCTCACATATGCAGCTAATGATAGTTGCCGTACTGGAATAAAGACCATCCTCACATCCTAACACGTTAACTTCCTAACCCGCATGTTCTGTGAGAGCTGAATGCTGAAACTGAATGTTCAATAACCGTGCATAAGGGTCTAAAAGTTAAACAGTGGTTCTTACTCAGTACTGGGTCATCCTAAGGGTCCTCGTGGCCAGGTTTGTTGCCAGTGGCTGACTCCAAATGGCCAGTGGCCGGTAAATTTAAACAGTGCCAGTGGCTGAGACCAACACCTCGATCAGAGGTTATGTTGCCGACACGGTCCCGGTAAAACACCAGCTCTCGTGCCCCTTGCATTTATCAAACATCCAGAAACGAAACAGCCAGTGGCGATACCCAAGTGTCGGTGGCGTAAACCAATGATGGGCTGCATTTGGTTGTCTGGGGATGTTGGCAGGGAGCCGCGGATGGACAAACAGCTGTTGTTACTCCACCCTGCCGGGTGCTGTTTGGAGCCACCCCTAAATCCAGATAGACGGCGATACTGTAGAAAGAGCAAGCATAGAGAAACAAACATAGGAAGGAATAAGGACACATCTTCAATTTGAAGGACAATTACAGCGCCAACCGCCCAGTCAATCTGTTTGGCCTTGTGTTTCACTTTAGCATCCTGCTGCTTGCCACCGCAGGCAAACCACAAGTGGCAAGCCGCTCATAGATCGAAAACACTTGACATTGTCCAAAAATTCAGGCCGCTGCACCCTCAAGAGCCTTCTGATACCTCCCATCAGCATCTTCTCCTGCAGTGCCTCAGTGACGAAGAACCCAAGGAAAAACACGCGCCGAGCCGCCAAACAGTCATCTTCTTGGAATCCAAGTCGGCCACATAGGACACAAAGACCTCAACAGTAATTAAAAGACAGCAGCGTGCCAAATACAATGCATTTCATTTACGTGTTGGTAATACCAGTCCTTCAGCTATTTCATGATTGGTTAAAATGGTTACACTCCCCAGATGTCAGGTTTGAAAGGGTATGCTGGAAAGGTTTCCTTTTGTAGAGTCCTTTTCATGTTTTTGGTTGTTAGGTCATCACAGGGCAATACAACAAAATCTGGGTTGGTAATTGGGAATTGTCCACTTCCCCAAATGTTTAATTGTCTGGGAACTCCACAGACGTCTATCACATGTTTGAATTAATGCGACCTTCTACATAGGAATAGGAATATATTTATATACACATATTATATATATAACCTGAAACCTCCGTTCCACTGGTTTGTATGATATCACCGAGTTTTTGGGTGATCGGTATTACCATCGGGGATACTTGTGGAACATTTGTCAGATGAATGTCAGAACACATGCCAAGACTCAAGACATGTATCAGAACAAATGTCGGAACACTTGTCAGACGAATGCCAGAATGCTTGTCGGAACACTTTCCAGAACATGTCCCAGCCTTTACGTTTTGATGCCAGAAGAATACCATAACATTGCGTGAACACACATGTCACGCAGCGTTTGTCAAGACTATGTCAATACATGCGCCTTGCCTTCTTCCAAATCACCTCGCAGAGTGGGGATCACTCGAAGTAAGTAACTTTGTTTCACCATTTGCATGTATAGTACAGTATACTGTGCGTGTGTACTCCAGCTGCTCGACTTATGCATGTCAGATCGGATGCCTACCATTTTCCAGTTTGCGGAGCAGTTTCCCAATCACCTGCACCCTCGAAGCTTGACTAGCAAGTGAGGTGTTGGAGGCCCAAAAGACAAGTGACTCTTAGACAGATCCAAAGCGTTCTCCTTCTGGTTTATGGAATTGAAGCCGTTGCAGTTTCCAGGCTGTAAACGATTGATGCAGACAGACGTTGTTAAATGTGCTTCGTGCTTGCGTGCTTTCCCTTTTTGTCAGTGACCATGATAGTTGTGTAGTAGTGATCCTTCGAAACCCGTGGAATTGCTCTATATAAACATCTTAGGTGTTGGACGGTTCCGGCAGAAAGGGTGTTTCAACATGATTGAACGCCTGAAAGGCAAATATTCTAAGATTTTTTGTTATTTGCTATCAAGGCTTGCTGAAACAGAGCGAAGTCTATGTATTCCACTGTATTGCTCTAGCCAAAACACACTAAAACTTAGGATCTGGAACGGTCTGTGACACTATTTGTGGAAAGGGACCAACATCCGGCAAGCCCAGAACCCGAGTTCCGCCGCACCCCTGTTGGCAGTTAGCAGGTTCACTAGCACGGCCTAACCACCCACTGCCTACGGCCAAAATAAGGACAATGACAGTAAGAAAGGACTGTGACTATATAAAGCACTTGCTGAAGTCATGTCTCCTTTTGCTGATTTGCATTTTGGAGAGCATTTCGTAACGATTTCATGGTCCGTTCCAGAATTGTTTGTTTTGGCTGAATGTGTCTCTTACATTCTTTTAACACTCTTATTTGTGGTGATCGTGTTTCGAGTGTAGAGGGGCATCTCCGAGCAAAGCACTTTGAAGTTTGACAGTTTCAAGAACAGAGGGAGAAGGACTGTCAGGGAAAGAGAAGAACTGGAGCAGGAGAAGCAGGAGAGCAAAGAATATTGCCGGTGCTACATGGAAGCGTCAATGTCTGCCATTGTCCTTGCATAACACACCTGCCCGGAAGTAGTGTTCAGGGGACCACGCAGTTGTTCTGTGCTTGACGCATAGCTTTTGAATGCTTTTGACTTTCAGACCAAGCCATGATGAACATGATGCTATGAAAGCTTGACCCCATTGCCATATGTCCGTTTTGCATCGTGGGCCTTGATAATACCCCAAGCAGTCTGAAACGATCAAGAAAAATTGGGCACAGAGTAAGGACTCTAACGAAAAGAAACAAAAACACAAAAGATCACAAACAGAATCTTTACCTTTGACGCAGCGAAAATAGCAAGAGGGATGATCATCATCATCATCAGCAGCAGCAGCAGCACAAGAAGTGCATGCTGCATATTATACTGCTGTATTTAAAGCGCACGCTCAATTGTCAATCCTTTTTTCCGCAAGCACAGTCACGCGACAGGAGATTTCACTACTGTATACGATTTTGGAGGTAACAACTTGTTGTGGACGGAACATGTTGTCGCTTGTGGGTGGCAGGGTGGGTGAAGTGTGCCTATCCTTGCCATTTTGACTCAAGGACGAGCACCCT